GCTATTGTTTGTCAATTACAGATGGCCCATTACCATGAACCCTTGTGTAATTCACCTTTTTTGCTTTCCATTATCACATTCTGTATTAGTTTATGAGTCTGAATTAATTATTTGTGGGGTTTTTGTGTTTGCAAACATGCTAGCCTCAAATTCCCCCGTGAGCGACGAATGAAAAGGAAGTTATTGTGACCAATAACCGACAGCTACTGTCTAAGATGAGGGCCATCCTATACACTATACTGAAAGAAACAGATGGCACTATTACCTTCAAATTTTCATTGAATGCACATTCTAAGATCTGGAAGAAGAATTGCTTATTTTTAGTTTGAAGTGCTGCATTTTCTTTCTAAATTGTTATACTTGTAAACATATGTACATTTTAAACCTTATATAAGCCTGCTTTGGAAACACTGTATTTAAATATGGCCATGCAATGAGGCAAAACTGGATTTAAATTGGATACAGCCTGAAAAACAGTACCAATCTATTACTGTGTATTAATATTCAAACTAGTTTATTATTTAATGTTAACTGCAATGGTTAAATTAGAGTACACCAAACTATCAGTACCTTTGTAAGAGCTCAGATTTCCTCAGAATGAGCAGCTCGATCAGTTACAGTACAGTTTAATTACACAGTTAATGTGCTACACCATGGGCAGGGCTGCAACCACGGCTGAGTGACATCTGCTCTGGTTTCAGCAGTGTTAATTAGGATGGACATCCCGGCGTATCAACTCCAGCCACTGTCAAACATAATTAGAGCGGAGGGCGGCAAGACTTTAAGCAGAGACAGAAGGAAGAAGGGAGGACGAACAGGACTGAGTGTAGAGGGACAGGACAGCACTGGTGAAGAGAAGTGTGGAGTAAAGTAAAGGCTGTGGGATCTGGACAGATGAGATTAAAATGAAGCCAGTTTTCCTGTTCCAAGTCCAATACAAAATCCACTGGGATATCGCTCTGGCATATCCTCAAGACTGACATAATCAAAGTTGGGAATCACATGAAGGAGAGTTGATTTCCCGCAGGATGTTTCCTCCCACTTCATTCATCTCACAATATTAAGTCTTACAACTTATCGAGTCAGGCCACGTAAGATCTTTAAATTTACTCCAGACCAAAACATGTCAGTCTTGTGGGACTACTATTGAGCACTCTTAGAGATAGAAAAGGTAGCATTTTACAGCATCTACCATGACAGAGGTTCCCACTTTCCATGTTCCCACCCAAAGTCTGAGCTACTACAAAGAAGTGAAGACCAGACATATGATTTTGTAGAGGGTAGAAATCTTGCAGAGGGGTAAAGTGTGGGAGCTGTCTGAAAACCAACTGTCACTAAACCATCAACTGACTTATTCTACAAAGACCTTCCAAGAGGATACATGGACATAGATACACATATGGAAAATACATGGAGGAAAAGCTACTCGTTCAAAGTTTCCATTCAAATCTAGTGCAAATTTTAACCACATTTCCAGAAAATTGGCAAAAGAAAATGCTAATTTATGTGCTTTTACTAATTATTAGGAGTTGTGCATAGCGATGTGCAGCTGAAACAGCTGGTGGTGTAAATTCTCCAGTCTGGTGGCATTATATCACCTCAAACAAATGAAACAAAGTGATAAATATAGTGTTTGTTCATGTATTAACTTTTCCACCAAAATGTTTTTGCAATTCTTCCTAATTTTGTTTCTTTTTAATGCTTAAATTAAAAATGCGCATTAAAACAGGTAGATGAAACACAGACTGAAACGAGCACTCATCACTTTGAAGTACAGCAGCCCACATATTTGCAATGGATTTTGAGTGTAAGATTTTTCTCTTTTCATAGTTTTCATATTTTATTTGTCACTACATTTGAAGGCACACAATGTCTCATTTCTCAACCAGTTTTTGTCAGTCTCTGTCTGTAATCCCAGACACATCGTTTCAAACTTTACTTAGAATTTCCAGTGGTATATCTGCCCCCGTTATCACTGTAAATTGCATATGTACTGTGCAAGAACATAAAGTATGACAGGTGTAACAGTAACCAACACGTCTTAATAAATGATCTTTCATTTTTAGGGGTCCAAGTATGAAGCGCTTCCTGTTTTTGTTCTCATTAACTAAACATATCTTGTTCTTGCAAACCAATAAGCCTAGGTAGGTAGGTTTCAAATCGAATCTAATACCCAGGTAATCAAATGGGCTTCCGAGAGCATCCAACAACTTGATCTGTCAAGTCAAAATGGAACAAGACTTGAATGTACTGTACATGAATATACTGTATGTCATTACATAACAGTGCCCACAGTTCCCATAGTCCACGGCTTCTGCTTGCAGCTGTATTTTAACTCTTCTAATTTTGATTTTGCAACATACATCTTTAATATGAGACAGGGTTGCCACTTTTGAGTCACTCTATATTTTAAGAAACTGCACATAAATGATTAAATATCACGTAATGAAGACTCTTTGACTTGGAGGGAACAGAAGCCATTTGCTTACCCTTAACAGAGAGAAGCCGCTGAATAAATGTGTGCAACATCAACCTAAGTGTTGTATCATTAGTGCTTTAGTGCTGTTTTTCCAAGTAGCGCTTCAAAGGTAATTTGACATAGAGAAAGTTCATCTTCATGCTTTTAGCAGCCAACATTTAGCTTTGAAATGAGGAGTTTAAATATTTTAAACGTTTCCTTTTAAAGACTAGAGTGAAGAAGTGAAAAGCCTTTATATTCTTTCTTTTTTCATTTACACTTTTATTAAATTGCGTTCAGTAGCTGTTGGTAGTGGCGCTGAAATAAGGCAAAGAACAAAGGGGGTGTTAATCATTAGTGTGATTCACCTACAGATGGTACCAAACACAAGCTTTAGCCTAGATATTTGACACAACCATGACACCGCTGTGTGTTTCCATTGAACAATGAACCTCCTCTGAAAAAAAGACAGATGTATGATAATGCTCGAGGCTTAATTTAATATTACCCGCTGGTTTCTAAACATGACTGTCACATGGCTGAGAGAAGTATCCACTCCTCAAATTCAATTTGCTACTTTGTGCGGAGAGCAAATCTCATTGACTGACTTAACAGGCCCTATCTGGCGATGTAAGTGCTGACTATTTTGCACTATGCTTTAGTAGCTTTAACAGGCTGTAAGTCAATCTTTGCCCCTAAAGTTTTGAGGGTGGTGATGTTTGTCAGCAGCATCAAGGGTTGATTTGCATGTTTGACACAGCGGCAGAATGTTAACAGAATGAAAAGTTGGAACTAAGTAAAAATAATGAGCTGCTTGAGGTTGTCTGTGTTCCCGCTAACGGCCAAATATTCATATCATTAATCTTTATCGCAGCTAAACATAATGTCATTTCACATCAGGAAAGTTTTCAGTTCACCATAGACTTGATGAGATCCAGCAGCCTCCAGCCAAAACAAGTCACATCTAGTACAACGCTCCTCCACGGTTAAATCTGAGGGGAAACACTTGGTCAGATATCATCTTTAAAAGTAAGGAAACATCCTCTGAAATAGTCAAATTTAAACCAAAAGTGGTTTATTGAACACATTCCATCTCCTCATACATAATACTTGAGCATTAAGCCTATAATTTATTATGAATGACTATTATTTCTGATGGTGACACAAGATCTGTACTAATGAAAAATGCCATTTTACTCACCATTAGTAACCTGTAACCTGTTTTCCATTTTCTGGGTTGCATTACCCAGCCAGCGATGTAGATGGGAGATTTTTATAGAAGCAAAAATAAATAGGCTACGCTTGATAAACTTTTTAGTCTGCTAGTTCAGGCAAGCATTAAGCTGGGGGGGAATGTTATTTACAAGTATTTATTTATAATTTCTGGGTTTCTTCAGAGTTTCAAGGCTGGTGGAATATTCCTATCATATTCCTGTGAAGGCTTATAAATTATGTTGTAGGGTATAGTGACCATGTACTATGTACTATATTCCTATAACTCAATATGTTTCTGTGCCTAAAGTAACAGAGGCTTCTCAACAGAGGGATCATTGAATTGTCTCATATTGTATTCTGTATTGTAACCTATCCCCATTTCATCTCGTTTTTTGCATTTTATTTCGCAGACTCAGTTGGCTCATCTCTATCCAGAGGTTCAAGGCATCAAGGTGAAGAGATTTCCCTGCCAGTTGGCTGTCACAGGCAGTAACACACAATCACACATTGTCAGCAGAATATTCCTAATACACCCACAACAGGATGGCACTTGAGAGTCAGAATGCAAACTAATGCTATTTTGTTTAACACCCTGTGAGCTCAAGGTGTGGGGAATTGTAAGATGAGTGTGCCAATATCTCCTCAAACCAGAGGCCAGACCTTCCTAATGAACTGTTTTGAAAGGCACAATCCAGACTGATGTTCAAGGAAAAGACATTGCTTGTACACAAAACTTTTACTCTTATACATTTTAAGTCTGGTTTTTAAGCCACATATAATACAAAAATATAGAGAGGGTAAGGGTTATCAGAGAGATTTCATCCACATCAATGTCTGACAGAGGGAAAAGAGTCTTAGCAGATACAGATCAAAGACGGATCTCATCAAAAGAAAGAAAATACAGAGACCTATGCTTTTGTGAACCCCATCCACAAGTATCTGTAGAACTGCAAATAGAAGCTCAGGGTATTTCTAAAGAAAAGTGGACTGACAGCTATGTAGACCAGAAAGACCTAGAACACCTTGAGAATACAAATGGGAAAACAGAGACAGGCTGACAAACAGACATACAGTATAGACAAATATACAGAGGGTTTATGCGCCATGAACTAATAAGTTAAAGTCCTCATGTGGGAATACAGAATGTGTAGAAACAGATTGAGAGCGTTCGCAGAGAAAACACCATGCCATTTACAGCTCCCCGTTAGGAATACTGAAGGACCAATAAAGAAGATGTGAAAACACAGAGAGTGGCAGACATCAACAGAGAGTGTGCGCGCACGACAATCAGCAGTTAAGTCATAACACCTTGTCTTGATTCTCTCACCATGTGATGAGGCCGGCAGCGACAGCGGACCAGGTGACACAGCAGGAGTTGGGCTTCTTGCTCTCCTCCTCTTCGTCTTTGCGGCAGCAGCACAAACAGCTCAGGTAGATGGCCAGACACAGCAGGTTGAGGCCGAGCCCCGCCGCCGCCACACAGCCCAGGAATATTAGAGACTAGAGAGGGGGGTGACATTAAGCAGCTAAGTTAGATACAAAAAGTGGCATCAGAGCTCATGTTTTGCCTCAAGCAACGAACAACCATTTTGACCTGGAAAACAGGGTCTCTTATGACTAATGCTTCCCAGCAAGTGTTTTACGTAACATTACTTTTTTGGGAAATGTCCCTGTTAGTTCACTTACCCGTTAAAGGCAAGGCGATGCAATTTTGTTGGTATATCAGATACATGTGTGTAGCAGATTTCATTACAAGTAAACTCAGTGTGCTGTGGAAGAAGATCGTCGGCAAGTAAAAGGGGCAACACAACCATTTAAAAATACTTACACTGCATAAAATCACAGCAAACGTATTGTCAGCAAAATGTACTCAAGTATCAAAAGTCGTTACAAAGACAAATGACCCAATCAAGAGTGTTTATTAAATATTATATTGCATTATTATTAGTGATGTATTAGTGCGTAAGGAGTATTTTAATGTCGCTGCAGGTTGATGAGGAGCTATTTCTAAAATGTAGTGGAGTAGCATTATAAAGCAAATTTATCAGTTATGTAAAAACTGTACTTGTGTAAAAGTAGTTACTTTCAACCACTGCATGTGCAAAAGAATAAAACATAAAATGCAACCGGAGTTAAAGATGAACATATGAAATACAGTAAAATCATACATGTGTCTGTGGATTGCTTTTTGCTTTGTTTGCATGCATCTATAAAACAATTTCTACAATGATCCTTGGGTAACGAGAACCTTTTTTTGTGTTTTATTGGCCTTTTAAGCCCCTTTTAGCTTATTGTTTTGTCAGTACAGGCCTGCAAGTTCCATTATCTTCAACCCCCCCTTTCAAGCAGATCAAAGCTATTAACTTTGCTATTAACTAAGCTACTAACTGGTGAAGAACAACAACTTAGCTGTGATATATTTTCCCAAGAGTTGGTGGAGACCAAAACAGAGCTAAAAGGAGAGTGAATACGGGACAGAAACACAACTCAAAATGAATGCTAATGCTGCTCTGTGTCTGTGTTCTTACAGCATGGACCAATGCTAGGTCCCTATGAGCCTAAATGTTAGTATGAAGTGCTGGACCACATGAATAACTTAAGGCCAATCAATACCTCTAAAGTGTGTGTGTGCTAATGATTGAACAGGTAATTTAACAAACCCTGAGGGAGCTACGGTAGCCCATCTGGTAAACCGCGGGCCCCGAAGGCGGCACTAAGAGGCTAGAATTATCACTGGAAAAATAAGTCACTTCATTAGCTACCCGACGTAGGACTGTCAGCATCACACACTACACTGATCTGAGTTCAGTAGCAGATCCGCCACTCAGTATCCCCGCATTCATATTCAACGTAGGCTAATTAGGTTGTCACTGTGCAGAGATCAGTGGAAGAGCTTTACTCTGTCGCCTCCCACGTCTCTTCCTCCCTCCATTTCCTGTTTATCGTCAACTGTCACTATCAAATTAAGGAAAAAAAAGATCCTGCACTTTTATGTGGCTTCCATGTAACATGTCCCACTGTACTGAAGTATGGACAGAAAGAATTCATCACTCAGTAGTTGTTACAAACCCTATCCCCTTGTCATTTGCTAAATGTAAACATCATAGTGAAAGGAAATTCTATGACTCTGAACAAAACAATTTCAAACTAATGTCAGCAGTTACTGTGATTAGTAAGCCACAGAAACAAGGCCAGCTGCATCCACTGTCTCCAGCTGAGAGTGGACACCTCCTCATACATCTCTGCATCTACTTCTCCCTCTCATTTCTCCTTTAGCCCCCATCCCACCTTCTGCGAGAGATGGAGGGCCGTGACAAAAATAGCAACAAGACTGTCCTAACAGCCTCAAATGAATTCTGCATCCATCTGTGAACAGATGGGTTTATTCAAGCTCGCTCCCTCTTTTTTTCCCCCCTCTTACTCGTCCTTTTTAGTTTGTCTGAAAATCTTTTTGGTGCTGAGCCATCTGTCCTTATGCTGTGATGTGAGTCCCACAAGTCAAGTCGTGGGATTAAAATTCAGAAATGGAAGAATCTGCGGGATTATGTCAACGATTGCTATAAAAGAGACAGGTAAATAGCAAATTGAAAAATCCTCCAGAAGCCTTAAAACAGCTGTTTATATCACCTGACACAGTCTCTCCCCTGTCGACTGTGCTGGTAATAGAGCAAAAACGCAACTGCAATATATATATATATATATAACTACCACTAAGTGTGTCCACTCATTTTGCAGTGTCTGCATCATGAATGTGTTTTTATCATTTGCTCCCTTCCCCCTAAAAATCAATTTCTTTCTACTTTTGCTCCTCTCCTGAGCTCCATCTATTGGGGTGCAGTGCCTCATCTTGTCCCATTTCACGGCTACATGCCTTTCATGTAGAAGGCCGCACATCTGCTGATGACAAAAAGAGCAAAACATATATAAATGCAAGTGTCAAAGGAAGGACAGGGCAATTGACCCCTCGACTTTCTCATATTTTCCAGTACCCCATAAAATAGGTGTGGAAATTAGTGGGAATTTAGCGCCGCCATTTAAGAGATGGGATTGTAAATGTGTTAATGGCTGTGCTCAGACAGATGGATGGCAGTGTGCACCAAGGTGAGACAAAGAGACGGAGAGAGAGAGAGGCTCCTCGTCTCATCTGAAGGCGGGGTGGGGGGCTGGAGTGATGAGAGTTGGCGTAAACTGGGTGTAATTGAGGTGAACACAGTAAATGAGATGGAGATGTGGGACGCAGGTGGATAATATGAATGTGGGAGGGGGGGGATGGGTGGGAGACGGCCTCAGATTGTTCGACAGAGGAGGAAAAAGGGGGGAAACTCCTGCTGAACGCACAAACACTGAGGCCACCCAGCCGCTCTTATCGTCATGGTAACGTGCAGGTTAGTTGGTGCCCTTGCGTCAGGGAAGGAGGACGAGTGAAAGGGCGAATTATCACAGCCTATTTGAATTAAGCAGCATGTGACAGGCCTTCTTAAATTGCCATGCCTCTGTCTTGTGATTCCCCCCTCGCAGCCAGGCAATGTGGAGAAAGGAGGGAATGTGGCAGAAGGCGGGGGTGCGGGGGGGACCGGTGAGGGAAATGGTAGATAGTTGAGCGACCTCACATGTACCATCAAAGGAATAAACTTTGGTAAGGTTCCTGGTGTTTGTGCCTCCAAACCCCCTCAAAACCCATTGTATAATTTAAACGCTGCTTTTAAAAAAGGAACTCAAAAATGAATTCTTTTTTATTTATTTTTTTAAAGCAACATTTATTCCAAGGTTTCTTATAAAGCAGTTATAGCCAAGACAACACTCTCCACTTTCTTTCTGTCTATTACTCTCTCCATCTACTGTCCTTTCTTCTCAGTAGTAGAGCGCAAAAATAATGGCTTCTGAATAATGTAGCATCCATTCAGTGGAAGGTCGCACACAGACACTGAACGTGCACAAAGATACACACACACACACACACACGCCACAACCCCATCCTGTAACCATCACTTCCCAAGTGCTCCAACCTTCCATTAAGTTTAAAAACACCATTTATCTTTTACCGACCAGAGTGTGCACACATTGGCTCTTTGGTAAAAAATCAAATTGGCAGCTCTGACCACTTAACTGCTACCTAAATTAGGTCTGAGTAGTTTCCCATAAAAGTAGACTCAATATGTTAACACCCTTCTGCTTACTTACTCACTCCTACCTCAAGAAGCCCACTCCACTGTTTTCTCTGTTTTTGTTTCCTCTCAATTGTCCCTATAGACAGGGTGCGGGGTAATCGTGAGGCTGGAGGCAATGACATGGGGGAAAGAAAGGAAGGAAGATCTAGCTGAGCGGAAAGGCAATCCGTGAGATCTGGAGGGCGAGCGGAGGGGGAGAAAAACGAGAATAAAGAGAAATAGGAAGAGATGGTGACAGAATGATGGAGGGAATATCGTAGGTAATGAAAACAGAGAGACAGCAGGGTGTGCAAGAGGAAGAGCGAAGAGAAGAAAGAGGGCAAAGAACGCCTGAATGACAAAGTGTGTTTTTCTGCACGTGTGTGTGTGTCTGCAAAGGGAAGACAAAGACACAGCTACCTCATCCACATGGCAGACTCTTCATTACCCACGGCACGGCCCACTTTCTCTCCTATTACGAGTCCATTGTAGATGGCTTAGCCCCGAGGCTGGAATGTTGCATAATGCTACGATTTCCCCCCAAATAGTGAACAAACCTATACGAATCTCACTGTTGAATGTATAAAAATGAGTGTGCGCTCTGCCCCAAAGGATGACTAATGAACTATAATTCAAGGGATGACACATAAGTGAACTCAGCAAAGATAACACAAGAGGAGTATTTTTCTAAGGAACTTTTGAGCCATCTGTTATTCACAAATACTCTCATGTGGCCTCTGTATGAACTTAACAAAATGCAAAGCTGCCAATTCAACTCAAGTACATCCGATGTTTTCCAGTTAGGGCAACAACTAAGTGTCATTTTAATCATTGGGAAATATAGCTAATGTTTTTTCACTTGATAGATTATTGGTTACATCTATAACTTGTGAAAAATAATACAAAAATGCCAATACAACAATTCATCATTTGTAATTGTCAATTATTCCTGTCAGACGAGTAATTGATTAACCTATTAATCATTCTAGCATTAAATCCAATACTAAAAGCCTTGCAATAAATCCAACTTTATAGCCATAAGTCCATATTTGAAGCTTCACAGTCACGCAACTTCAACCTCATTTCTTCAAAAGGACTCAGTGATTTTTATTTTTTTTCTCCAAATGTCCATGTATAAAGGAAAGGCATGTCTAACCCAGAAAATCTGACCTGGATATATACCTCTTGATGGGCACTTCACTGTTGAAAAAGGTGCTTCACTGGAGCAGAATGGAAAGAGACAGCAAACAGAGGAGATGGAAGATGTGCTGTATGTCAGGACAGATGCAAACTCACAACAGTCTAAGTGGTATATAGTTCATACCTTATGCTGAGCGCCCATAAAAAATCAAT